CTTGTTTCATGCTTGATGATTGACTTTGCTAGAAATCCCCTTAGTAACTCTTGAAAACCACTTGACCATTATTGCGTAGTAACTTTGATCTTGCTTTCCGTTAATTGTCTCAAAAACCGATTTTCTTAGTTTCTTTTGCTTGCTTGTTTTCAGTATTCATTTTGTTTAGTTTCATCTTGCTTAGTACTTTCTTTAGTTTCATTCTGCATTAGTCTTTGTTTAGTTGCATTTTAATTCTGTTTTCTCTTTATTGCATTGCTAGGTTGTTAGAGTTACTCTTGCACAATCAAATCCCTCAATCTTGCTTAGCTTATTTCATTGTTTGCATCTCACATCCACAAGTGTGTCAGACACCTGATCTCTATACTGCAACTTATTCGAGACTTAGGAACATTAGCTTCAAGGACATAAAAACCCTTGTTTCAAATTGGCGATGTTGCCACTTGTGGATTCTTTGAGTTTGACATTGCTGTTAGACTAAGTTCTTTTCTTTCAAGTTACTAATTAGCTATGTTTTCATTGCTCTGTTTTTTCAGGTGCTTGTATGACCTTGAGGTCCAAAGGCTCATCAAATCTGATTCCTTCTATAGACAACATCCATAGAAGAAAGGCTGTAAGACAGAGAGTTCAGGAGTTAGAAGAGCAGAGAATGGCAGAGCAAGAAGCTCAGTTACCACACATTGGTGTTGTTGGTCAAGCACCAATACCACAAGCTGCTGCACACACAAATGAGGTTCAAGAAGAAATGAACCAAGCGGCTGGAATTCAGGGTTTGAGAGCACCAGTTCATGCACCAAGAGTCCAAAGACTTATAGGAGCTGGTGATGTGCCTGATACACACCATAACCGCAATGGGATTCATGCTCCAGCTGTGCACCAAAATCACCTTGAGATAAAGCTTGGGATAATCAACATGGTGCAAGAAAACAGATTTCATGGTCTGGCAAATGAAGATCCTTTAGACTACATGGACCAGTTCGACAAAGTGTGTGGCATGACTAAGATAAAGGCGTGTCTGAAAATGCTTTGAAGCTGCGCCTGTTTCCTTTCAGCTTAGGAGAAAAATCACATCAGTGGGAGAAAACCTTACCTCAAGGATCAATCTCCACATGGAATGAGTGCAAAAATTTAGCTCAACAAGAACAGTAAAGCTTAGGAATACAATCAGCAACTTTGCACAACATGGGAATGAGACATTTTCTGAAGCATGGGAACACTTTAAGTCATACACATTACAGTGTCCACACCATGGCTTCACCAATGAAAGCATGTTGTCTACTTTATACAAAGGCGTCACTCCTAAATACCGCATTCTTTTGGATAGAGCTTCCAATGGGAATTTCATGGGTAATATTGTGGTGGATGGCCTTGCTTTGGTTGAAAATCTGGCCTTATCAGATGGAAATTATGGTGAAGATTATGACAGAACATGAAGAGCTGTGGGAAGTGCTGAAACTGAGAGCACATCCAAGAAGGAGATCAAAGCTTTGAATGACAAGCATGATAAGCTGTTAAGTGCATCCTTCAAGAATGTGAGCTATGTGGGTAATGATGTTGCTGCACAAGAAGAAGATGGGACAGCTAAAGAGGAAGAAGCTTTCTCCATGAATCAACAAGGACGAGGCTTCAACAATTACAGTAATCATCCTAACTTCTCTTATAGAAGCACCAATGTGGCAATCCATAAGATCATGTTTATCACTTACAAGGTGCTCCACAAAACCAAGGAGCCAAGCCGTTTTTTCCTTTCAACCAACAGCAAAACTCTGCTCCAAGAACACCATTTTAAGGAGGATTTCAGCAATCAAACTTTCAGCCAAGACCAGCTTTTGTTACACTAGGTTTTGGCAATGCACAAAGCTCATCTAGTGCTCAAGATGGTGATATCAAGCAGATGATACAACAGTTGCTGAATGGTCAAGCCAACACCACTATAGAGCTGCACAAGAAGTTTTCTGAATTACACAACAAGATAGATACCACCACTTGTGATTTGAATGGAAAGCTTGATGCTTTAAGTCGAAGAGTTAAGTCTCTAGAGTGCAAATGAGCTTTATCTTGAAAGCCTCAGAACCAATTACCAGAAAAGAGTGAGGCCAATCCTAAAGAATTCTGCCATTTGATTGCTGAAGAGGATGAAGAGTTTGATGATGATGAAGATGCTTCTTTGGAAGATCTTGGTATGATGATTCAAGAGATGTTACTCCATGTGGACATGGTGAAAGCTGAGTATGGGGGGAATGTTCTGAATTTCACCGTTGATGATCAAGAAGCTGTTGATATTGTGGAACAGTTCCTTCAGGGTTTAGATAGAAGCTTGGATAGAGAAGAAGAGCTTGCTCTGGAAAAGAAAGAGCTGAAAGAGAAGCTGCTGAGAAGAAAGAGGCTGAGAAAGCTTTAGATGCTCTAGAAGAAGAAGCCAAGCCAGATCTTAGTGAAGCTGACAACGAGCTTGTAGAAACATATCATGCTTTGTTGGTCCTTGCTAGAGAAAGTCCTGAAGACTTCAAAGAGTTGTATGAACGCCAGGTGGGGACTTCTTCAAGCAACAATGAGAAAGGTAAATCTGCTGGGGTTCAAGCGTACAAACCACCAATTCCTTACCCCAAAATGCATTTTACAAAGGCTCAAATGGCAGTCTACTCAAGGTTAAGAAAGGATATAGAATATGCGGGTATAAAGCTTCCTCATGGCACCACATTGCTTGAAGTGAAGGATCAAATCCATTTTCTCAAGGAAGTCTTTGACAAGCTAGAAGTTGTGGAGCCAATACTTGAGAATGTGAGAGCTAATTTGAAGAGGAGCAAGCAGCTTAAAACCTTAACCAAGCTGCCCAATCCAGGAAAGTTTCTGATCACTTGTGAGCTTGGGATGTTAGACAATGTGAGAGCCCTATGCGATTCAGGCTCCACAGTCAATGTTATGTCTCTCCACTTAAGCCAAACCTTAGGAATCAAAGATCTGAAGCCCTGCAAAACCTCTATCACCTTTGTGGATAATACCTCAACAAGACCACTAAGGATGGTGAAGGATTTCCCTTTGAAGATTGGGAATTGCTTGATATCAACAGATTTTGTGGATATGGAGAATACATATTCAAGAGAGGTACCACTTCTTCTAGGAACACCATTCTTAGCTACAGCAGGTGCTCAGGTTAACTTCCAGAGAAGCTCAGTGGTTTTGATGAATGTTGATGAGTTCAAGGTGTACAAGATTGTGTCACCTTCTAATGCTTTTTGTGGAACCGTTGTTGAGGAAGAGAGTGAACAACAGCAAGTTCTAGAGCGTGTGGAGCATGCTATGAGCTTCACAGTAAGCATGCTGCTGAGAGATACTCTTCCTGATAATTCAGAAGAGAAGGTTGACACTGAGGTGAAGCTTGAGGATGATTTGAAAGAAGAAGAGGTCTTGATCACCAAAGAAGTGAAGCCTTTGATCAAACAAAGTGTCAAGAAGAGGAGAACAAGAAAAACAGCTCGTAATAAGAAGAAGCGGCTATCAATTGGTACTTGGGTTTACATGAAGAAGGGAGAAGGAGCTTCAGCTCCATCTACTTCTTCCCACTAAGTCTCTGACCATCAAAGTCAAGCTTAATGACTTTAAACAAGCACACTTGGGAGGTAATTTCATGACCATCCTTGTATATAATGGTTTTTTTTATTACTAATGTCTTTATTTAGTGTTCCAGAGGTCAAAGAGCATGTCCAAAGCTGTGTAGGGTCGTTTAAAAGCCAAGGAGAGAAGACTTTGTTTTCATATCGGGGTACCATATCGGGCAGAACACCTGTCATTACTGCCCGATACAGTTTATATCGAGGAAGAAGCTGTCCGTACACCGAGAAAAATCCACGATACAGATTGCATCGGGGTACTACATCGACCAAAACCTCCAAAGCCTTGCTCGATGTAATTGCTCCTAGAGCCCCAGTCCATACACCGAGGAACCAACCAAAATGCACGGTGGAGATCACATCGGGATGCTACATCGAGCAAAGCACGCGAACTCATGCTCGATACAATCACCCCGACCGTAGATTAAGATGCCAGTCTGTACATCGACGAAGTTGTCCGAAGATGCTTCACTGAGGTACAACATCGAGCAAACATCTTAGTTTTCCTCGATACGGAAACTATCGAATAATTTCGAGCAAGGGACAATGGCCAGTACGAAAACCACAGACGAGCATCCTAGCTGAGTGCAAGAAGACTCACATCAATGTGCAACATCGAGCAAAACACCCATGTTTTTGCTCGATGCACACCACGGACATGTTTTCGCCGGAGCAGTTCCATAATCCCCTCGGAGGACCTGCATCGGGATGTAACATCGAGCAAAACACCAATACATTTACTCCATGCAGAAGATCCGAGCCAGTACGAGCATCCGGATGATATCATGCACTGTCCATGGAAAGAATCATGCAAGCCAAATTATCTCCCCTATATCGAGCAACAACCTCGAGCATAACACCTTCTGAGATCCGGAGATATCCGTATATTTTCAGAGTAAATCAAATCATAAAATTAATTATCTGTTAAAAACGGAGCAAACCACAAATACTAGAATTTTTCCAGTTATTCAATCCGTGTCCGCTCCTACTTTGGCAACTTGTTGTGGAGTTGGAGGTAAATACAAATTCACCATTTATGAAGAGTGTGGATGTAGAGAAGTTAGCTATTGTCAAAATCCATCTGAGAATTTGAATTGTGACGGTTCATATAACCGAAGCCACACATCAGAAGATGGCTCACGGTATACTCAATAGTCCCAATACAACTCCTGCTTTCGACTGGTCCTGCCTTGGCTATGCATCAGTCGATAAAGAGTACTCTTTCAGCGGTTAAATTCATTTGTTGTGAACAAAAAATGAAGTGGTGATTAAAATATGGCACATTTCCAACTTTTGAGAAACTCACATCTAATTTTATTATAAAGTTTAATGTTCTCATGTTGAAAACCACAGGTTAGATAATTAACAGATTCACCAAACCATAAAATGTGTTATTGTTAATCTTAATTGACATGTTACTTTTGTTAACTAAATTTACGAGATACAGTACACCAATTCACCCAAATTAATGTTTGTGTGATTTTGATATTTAACTTAGCATTAATATAATATAACGAAATACAGGGAAATTGCATTCAACAACATCGTCATCAAGGAGTGCAAAAATAAGGCATATAACATATGCAATAGCGATCAGAAACGATCTTTTAAACCATAATGGTATGTTTGTAAATTGGCGAAATCTTGAAATCACGAACATGGAATCTGCATATCAGAAGGTAAGTGGTTTATAATTCGAGGAGTGCACTTTAGGGGATAAGCCAAAGCTGAGAAGAATCTCAATCCAGAAGCTTCTTCCATGCTGACTCTATCTCCTTTGATTTCCCAGTCAAAGCACTGCACCATCACTCCAACTGCGGTTCCAACTAAGATATAAGCTAAACTTGATCCAGGACATCCTCTCCTTCCAACACCGAACGGGAGGTACTTAAGTGATTTCTCTCTTCTCTCGCCTTCTTGCCCTCCTGATCTTGAACTAGCTAGAAACCTCTCTGGCTTGAATTCATTAGGATCTTCCCAAGTATCAGGATCTCTCATCACAGCATAAGCATTTATAACAAGTGTTGTACCCTGAGGTATGTAGAAATCTCCAATCTTACAATCTTTTTCAAATTCCCTTGACAAAACAGGTGCCACTGGATGAAATCTTAGAGTTTCCTTGACGACCGCTTGCAAGTAAGGAAGTTTTGGTAAATCAGTTTCTTGAAGCAACCTTGTCTTCCCTACCACAGAATCGATTTCTTTTCTCAACCTCTCAAGGATCTTAGGGTTACTGATGATTTCTGCCATTGCCCACCTTGTTGTTGAAGAAGAGGTGTCACCGGCTCCAAAGAAAAGCTCCTACATTGAAATTTTTTTTATTTAATATAGTGTTGTTATTTGGATTCTTAATGAAATATATACAACCAACGAGAGGATAGGCATTACCGCGAATAACGCCTTTATATGTTTCCTAGTGATCTTATACTCTGCGTTTTCATCTCGATAAGCTGCCATCAATGCATCCATAAACTCAGTACCTTGATCCTCGTTCATTTTCTCTTCGTATCTCCCAAGAATCCTCTCCAGAAGCTCCTCAAATCTGTGTGAAACCGCCATTATATCCCATTTTAACAGTGAGATCCCTAGCTTCTCAAGCGGCTTATTAAATATCTGCGCCACGAAAAACATGCGGGATAAGGCAGCTAACTTGACAGTGAATTCCGAGACTTTGGCCCCGTCATCTTCCTCCACTGAAAAGCTACTTCCCATGCTCAACTTTCCTAGGGTGTTGTTAACGAGTCTCATCGCTTCCTCACCGATCTCCACGCCCTGTCCCTTTTCCGCCTTATCTAGCAGGTTTCTGTAGAACCGCTCTAGCTCAACTATACGAACCCCATGTGACCGCTCTAGAGCCTGTGGTCCGATCCCTTTAGTAGTGATTATCTTCTTTATGAACCTCCAGTAACTTCCATATGGAGCTCTGAGGAAGCCAAAAGAACCAAAAACGAGGCACTCTTCAATAGCAATAGCGCCACGAAAGGAAATGTTCATGTCGTGGGCCTTGACGATCTCGTTGGCCATCGAAGCAGAGGAGACGAGAACAACGGGGACATAGAAGATGCGAAGGTGGAGAAAAGGTCCGTACTTGGATGAGATATTCTGAAAACACTTGTGGATTGGAGCAGTGAGAAGAAGGTGAAGATGACCAATGATTGGAAGAGAGGGAGGACTTAGAGGTAGATCAGAGCTATTCGTTGGTTTCTTGAAAAAGAAGGCAAAGAGAAAGAGAGTTGAAAAGAGGCAGAGGAGGGTTAAGAATAAGATGGAGCAATTTTGAAAATCGAAGATGATCAATTCTGCCATTGTTTCTCAAAATTTAAAGCGGAGGAAATAGAACAGAGGGATCCTTAAATCCATTAATATAAGAAGGTGTAATATGGAGATCTGAAATTATATAATAGCGTATATCAGAAGTTACTTGCATTGCACGTGATAAAATTAATAGTTCTATTGAGTAATTCCAAGGTGACAAGTAAGATTGAGATGAGTAAGAGATGCATTTGTCTTTGCTTGTAAGAATTCGACTTGCTCATGTGGAAGAGTTGTGTGTGTGTCTCATGGTTCATCTCCATTTTTTCGGATTTAAGGTTTTGAATAGTGTAGTGAAGAAGTTTATGCAGTGCGATTAAATAACAAGATTCCACATTTCGATACTATTAATTAAAAAACATGGGTTATTTATGTTCAGTACTATCCTCTTTCTTCTTTTGTTTTGCTAAAAAGCATATGATTGAAGCGCGGTGCATTTTTTTTTTTTAATCAAAGTTTCATTTGCACGTAATTTCATTTTTTTGATTAATGATTCGCACGCAACTTCGTGCATGATATTTTCATTCGCATGGGTTTTTTTTCATGATATTTATGCATGTCGTAACTTCATAAACTATCATCCGCATGCTATTTGCATGATATTTCTCAATTCGAAGATAAATATTCAACTAGAAGTCTAGTGGTTCCAACTTGAGGAGGAGTTGTGGTTTAGGGTAAAATTGATTTCTTTCAAACATGAAATTGTTAAACCATTCACACTCTACCACACGAATATAAGCTTTTATTTTCGGTCCATTTAAATATCCAGAAAAAGGGTTTATCCATGGATTGCACCTCTCTCAGAGATTAGTCTCAACATTTCTATAATTTTTAAATTCCCTAAATCATCATTAAAAGAAAAGAAAAAAAAAAGAGATACACACTCTTAGCCTATGAAACTCTTAGCCTATGAAAGAGACACTCAAGCTACTTCTTACAAGACATGATTTGGTATTTAATGGTTGGTACAACTATAGTGGACCTTTCGTAACCCTTACACTCAATCCGAATCTCGGCTACACTTAAGCTACTTTTTAGCTTCTTCTATTCTTCCAAGAAATCTTAATAAACTTAAATCTCTCAATGATCTTAGCCATGACTAGGCACTTGATATGTATCTACAACCTTCATTCTCTACCTTAGACATATAATAGCACTCTGTTACTTCTTTTCTTGTATCCAAATCTAGATACCCGCATTCAACTTTGGGATGCTCATTTCGTTGCTTAGAGATGTAAAGCATGTGCAATGGCTCTATCACCTCGTAATCTGTTATCACCTTTCTGAAGATACCAGTTGGATTGTAACTAATTCGTAGGTATCTTCGATACTTTGATCGCTATGCACCTTCACCAATTTGACAAAGTGATATTTTACAAGACCTGGTTAGGCATATCATGTATAAGACCAGTGAGTTTACAAGACCTGACACTACAAAAAGGATGTATTGTATCATTTAAATTGTATTATAAAAATAAATGATATTATTAGGTTCATTTTTACCAAATCCAATACTAAAATAACATGTGGACATCGGGTCTCACCAGAGAGCTGACTTTCTCCTCCTAGACCTGCCAGCGACTCTCTATCAGACTGTTCTTAGGCATGTGGCGTGCTTAACAAGTCAGACGTGCTAAACCAAACCACCTGCTCTCGTGGCACACTGCATAGATAGGACAGGACGAGTTAGAGAGTGTTTAAAAGGAGATCGAAAGCCAAAAAAAGATGTCGGCGAATAAGCCGGAGATGACTACGAGATACCGGACTCGTGACTTGAGAGAATCCGACGAAGGTCCATACACGCCACTAAGACATCCGGAGTAGGAGGGGAAAACCTCCAACTCCCGCCCCATCAGAGCTCATCATGAGCCCCTAGAGTCAGTAAAACCAAAGGGGAACGCTCACCATCCCCCATGTAATACATCTGCCAAGATAAGCGTTCCCCTCTCTTCTGTTCGTTATTCCACATCCGTATGAAAGAGAGTTCCTACACCAATCTTCTCATGGTCCATATCTTATGCTCCACCACCAAATATTAGATGAGTGTCATGATCCCCGGATGGGACACTCAACCTATAAACCACCTTAAAATCCATCTTTTCGAGTTTCTGTTCCCGGTAGGGCGTTCATTAACTTGATCATCCAATAACTTTTGGGAAGAAAACCCTCAAAAAGAACTTAGAAAATCGCAGGAACACTTTAAATGCAAAGAGAAGATTTCTTTGAAAACAAAAACAATACTTTCTTGATTAATAATTTCGTAACTTGAAATGTACAAATGCTTGAGATTATAAAAGGCTCGAAATTAATGTAAACAAACTGTAACTAACTTAAAAATAAGGCAAAGATCAAGAAATAATCTTCCACTAGCTGTTAGGCTTAAATGGGAGGATCCTTGTCTTTGGCGCTGAATGGGGGAGCTCTGGATGGTCTTTGGCACGAAATGAATGTCCTGAATCTTTTGATGATGGTGAAGGGTCGAGATTAGATGGCTGATATAGTCGTTGGCTCTTGTTTCCTTGCTTTCTCCTTGAACCAATAAAGTTGGTTCCATCTTTGGTAAGTAGCTCTCCTTTGATATCTTCCCGGTTTTGGCTGGTTTGAGCTCGGCTATTGACTTGGTCTGGCGGTTTTGGGTCTTCACAGCTTCAGTAATCATCAAGGGACGGTTGAATAATGTCTTCATAGGATATAAATCTGAGCTTTCCATAGTTGACTCCAATAATGCTCCAATGGCTTGATTTGGCGGTTTAAGTGGATTTGATGATTCTCCTTTGGTTTGGCTCAGGTTTCCAGCTTGTATGATGGCTTCTTCTGGTGGTTTAGGACGTTGATTATCTTCAGTAAATGATGATGGTCGGTCGCATAATATATTAGGTGAATATATATGTGAGGTTTCCATAAACGGCTCCTTGGTTAGCTTCAGCGGTTTAGCTCCAATATCTTGAGATTTGATTTGAACCAATGGGTAATTAGCTCGAGCAGAATGCTCCTTTTGATGTATAAAGTGACGTCGTTTGGTGGTTAAGTCTTGAACAGCTCCAAGCACAGCTACAAGCTTTCCTTTCTCCATGGGTACAAGCTGTTCTGCACCCTCCTTAGCTCGAAGGTTCCATTGATCGGCTGGTCTAGTTGATCTAGGCTTGAGTCTTACATCATTCTCTCCCACTTATAGAGGTTTTGTCCTCAAAACTGTAGAACCTGCATCAAACAACCCTAAGTTAATTTTTGAAAAATGTTTAGAGTTTAAGAACTTACATTGGTGATCAGCTTGTAGATGCTCAATTAGCTGAATAAATGGAATATTTTTGGCTTTCTCAAGCTCCAGAGTTGATTTAAAATCAGCTAATGGTGGCTTCTCCTTAGTGAATGTCCTGTTTTCACCATTGTTGCTCATGCCATGCTCCTTAAATACTTCAGCTTTGAACTCTTATTCTTTAAAACCTGCAAAACATTCTCTTGGTAAAGACAAGTGCATTAAATCCGGTGGATGCAAATCTAAAAACTCATGAATAGCAAAATAACTGGCCTTCTATTTAGCTCTGTTTTGTAAAATCCTAACATCTTTTTGTGCTAAAGGAGCAAGAATAAAGTTACAGTGATTGAATGAGAATGAATACTCAGTTGTGCGGCCATTGTGAGAAACACTTCTATCATACTGCCATGGCCTCCCAAGCAGTACATGCCCAGCTTGCATTGGCGCTACATCACATAAAATTTGATCCTTATACTGGCCAATGGAGAGAGAAACTTCTACTTTCTTGGACACTTTTAACTCCTCTTTGTCATTTAGCCATTTAAGCTTGTATGGCCTTGGGTGTTGCTTAGTTTTAATCCCCAGCTTTTCTACTAAACAAACACTAGCAATATTAGCACAAGATCCACTATCAATTATCAAATTACATACCTTGTCTTGTATATTGCATCTGGAGTGAAAGAGATTGTCTCTTTGTTCTAAGTCCTCCAAAACTGGTTGAGAGTTTAAAGCCCTTTGTATGACCAGTAACTCTCCCTCTTCAGCTTAAATGATATGCTCTTCTTCTGAGTTGTCAGCCATGTCCTCATCTTGTCAATTATATCCTCCATCTGGTGTAAGAATCATTGTCCTCTTGTTTGGACATTCTCTTGACACATGACCCCTGCCTTGACATTTAAAACAGATAATGTCATGATGTCTATTTGAATTACTAGACTTACCTTGCTCTTGGCCATGGGGTTTGAACCGTGAATCAATAGCTATGACCTTTCCCTTGTCTACAAATGGTGTAGAAATTGGCGGCTGTTGTTGTTGGGCTGGTTGGGGCGGTTGCTGATTCCAAGCATTGTTGTTGCTAGAGCGATTCCTTGTTGTAGCCTTTTTCTTTATTTGTTTCTCTCTTTGAACAGCTAAGTGCAAGAGCTCAGGCAGTGAGTGGTAATGTTGCATCTCCACCTTTCTCTGAATTCTATCTTGCAAACCGTCCATGAACTGGGACATAAGAGACTCCTCTGTTTCTTCTAAGGCTAGATGTCTTCTTAGGAGGTCAAACTCTTCATAGTACTCTTCTACACTTCTGGAACCCTGAAACAAAGATCTAAACATTTTTAATAAATCTCTATGGTAATTTGGAGGTACATACCTTCTGTTTAGCTCAAACTTCATGTCATTCCATCTGGTGATTTGAGGACATCTCAACCTTCTCTTCTCAGCTACTTCTCTACCCCACCAAGCTAGAGCATGGTCAGTGAGACTAGCCGTTGCTAATGCAATCTTCTTAGGCTCGGTGTAAGCATAGTATTCGAACAGGTGCTCCATTCTTCTATCCCATTCCAAGTAGGCTGTTGGGTCTAGTTTCCCAACAATGGTTGGTGCAAGAAGCTTCACTTCTGGTGGTAATTGTCTATCCTCATTGTAGGGGCGGTTTCTTTCATTTTTCCTCTGGTTTAAGATTTCTTGAGAAGCTTGTGCTAGATTTGGTGCTGGAGCTGGTGGTGGTACATCAGGAGGATCTCCTACACGGTTTGGATCAGGAAAAACTCCAGGGACGTTTCTTCTAGG